TCTTTGGTGCAGCATGTGTGCACTGATGCCGTGTGTTAGGCAGTCGGGCGCAACGTGTGACAGCAGCATCAGGGCAGAGTCGGGGCAGCCAGCATGCGATTGCCCTGCCCCAACTACACCCCCAGGCCAGCCCTGTCCATGAAAGAATCTGCTCATTTGTTTCTCCTGATCTTAATAAGTTCTGAGTGTGACTGCTCAGATTGCTATCAGACCCTTTAGAACGATTCTTACCATGTTGAAGAACATATCCATCATGCACTGGAATTGCAGTGGTGTGTGTTGCTCCGCTATCTAGGATCAAACCTGTGGATCTGCCATTAGCAAAGCTATTAGCAAGAGTTAAGGAAGATAAAGGAATTTGTACACAACAACAATGTAGTTTCATCCAATAAGCACCTACTTTTAAGTATACATATTTACTCAACATCAAGAAAGAGGAAAATACTGCATCCAATAAGTTCTGGGATGCTTTCTGGCCCAAGGGCAATTTTGAAGTATATTAAAGGATTTAAAAAAACCATGTCCAAAAGTATGTTTGTGGATATTGAATATAAAATATTCTACAATACTCAGACATCCAGATCACCCCACCAAAAAAGTTTCACATGAGATGGCACATTTGTTCTAAGGAACTAACAGAGACTCTCCCCACTTGTAAAAAAATAAATAAATAACCAAAACAATTTCTGTGTCCTAAAAATACTATTACTGTTATTTCCAACTGAAAACAAACAAAATTATTGTGAACTCCCAGAATTATGAAATAGACAAAAACCTTGATAAAAGATGTTTTTATTTCTTTTCAGTGGTTTATATGGCTTTAAATGGTTTAGATCCAGGCTACCTGGCAGACCATATAGTAATGCATATTGCAATACAATAATTCTGCAAACTGCTGACACTTGAATGTTAGTTTAGCATTTGCTTGGATCTGCAAGTGTAGTAGTTCTTTGCTGCTTTCTCGTAAAATTAGTTCTCTTGTACAAGGAAGGTCACAAGAGAGCATTATACATAACATCTCCCTGTATAAATCAGCCCTGACCCAGAGATGATCTGAAGTTGCCTTTTTTTCAGTCCCACCACCACCATAAGCACAGTTGGTGGGGATATGAGATAGGGCCTTTTTGGTGTCTACCCAAACTCTAGAACTCCTTTCTGAGGGAGGTCAGAATGGCTCCCTTGTTGCTGTTCTTTTGTTAGCAGTCAAAACCCATTTTATTTTGGCATGCTTTTAAAACAAGTTTTTAAATAGGCTAAGGGTTCTGTGTTGTTTTAAGCTAACTATTTAACAGCTTTTTTATCTTTGTAAGCATAGGTCTGAATTGTTTTAATACTGTGATTAGTTTAATTCCATTTTAATGTTAACTTTTTATATTTTTAGCTTTTTTTCATTGTAAGTTGCCTGGGGTTTCAATTTCAGGGAAAAAGCAAGATAATAATATCATAATTATCAGGTAATTTTCTATACAAACAACAAAATAGCCATTGCTAGAAAAAAAATGTCTCCCAATGAACACCTGCAACATTTCTAGGATACGCTGTAAGAACTGCAGTTTTGCACAAGAAGAAAGCAGGAATATTGTAATGTTCAAACATCAGTTCCGTCAGTTTCTCACGCTTCGCTCTGGTGTTCCACTATAAGAGCAAAGAGAAAAACATGTTATCACATACAGCCCAAAGAGGAACATGTCTTTAAGTGTCATTAAAATGTTCAGTTTAAAAATACTACAAGATAGAAAAGTCCGTATTACTTCATCTTTTAAAAGGCAGAGGATTGGTTATTACTTAGACAAAATATTGATAGCACAGCTAAGCAATGCTTTCAGCAATAACAACATCAGGCATAATGCATAATTTCGTTTTAAAAATCACACAGTGACAATCTAGAAATAGATACCCCAGCCAAACTGGCTAGGTGATTTTCCAAGCCTGGTTCTGAAGTTATCATCCATTTCCTCCTCCATCTGGTTGTAGTTTTACAGTTCTTAAACTGCCAGACATTTATGCATCAAACCTAATTAGCCATACAAATAAAAATATTGGATTTTTACTCACTGGTGCTTCAGACATTAGGACAGGGTGCAAAGCTGCTTCAGATTTAATATGCATCTTATAGGTGTGATCCAAAATTGCTTGGAAGCTATCCCAGTCTTCAACTGCAACAACAAAAAAGAAAACCAAAACTGTTTTTGCTAGAAATGGTGTTCTGAGTGCAATCTGAAGTATAGTATCAGCACAAGGGTTAGCATGAGTCCAATATGGGCAATGAGGAGGCAGAACAGAAGCAGGATGGAGGTTTGACAACATTAAGTACAATCCTAGACATGGTGACAGAACTGAGGGATGACCCTTGTTCCAAACAAACAGTGGACCACAGACCCAAAAACACAGCATTCTAATCTTGACTTTCAACAGACCCCACAGCCCTAAGAAATAACAAAAGGTTGATGACACGGGATATGCTGGGCAAAACAGATCCCTTGTGGGCAATGGAATGATCAGTTCTTTAAAGAACCATACCATAAAAGATGAATGTCATACTATCTGGTGAATGTACAGTGGCCCATTGTAACTTGTGGGGGATCCGTTCTTACATTTAAGCCCCATTGAGATGAAGGGGGTGCGCCCCATTCACTTCAATGGCGGTTGCCCCTCCGTGGATCGTCAAGTCCATGGATTTCAAGTCTGCGGACTTGGAGGGGTGACTGTATTTGATTTTTAAAAACATGTATTTGCCCATAAACATAAAGCTTAATGGTCCTTAATTGTGATTTAGAAAATGTATTTCTGGACATATGGTCAGCTTATATTGGGGTGCACAACTATTGGGGATTAGGGGTGAGATTGGCAGAGGAAAGTTGGAAGGCAGACCCATGCCTCCCCCCACCCTCAATTGTTTTTCTTTTTTTTTTGTGGGTCCTAAATGCCCCCTAGGGTACATGGGGGGAGCAAAAAAGTGTATACTTTTTTAAAAAAGAAGGGGATGCTAGAGGCCTCAGTCAAAACATAAAAAGTCCAAATAAATAAATAAAACAACCTCCCAAGAGGCCACAATGAGCTTCCACTTCCTCTGTCTACATTATATTAAAGGACATATCTAGCTCATCTTCATATTCCAGTCCATGTTCATATTCTATTCTATTCCACTTTTCTTTTTCACTTGTTTCCATTTTCTTTCTTATTTTTAAAATCTGATGTAAAATATGAAACATTCTGATCAAGTGTTCTCTCAAGAGATGATCTACAGTTAAGTGGCAACAAATCAGGGGGGGAAATCCAGTCTGAAGTCAGTTTGGAAACAATGGTGTACAACAGCTAAATAAGTATGGTCCAAAACACAATACAGAAATAATCCAGTTTGAGACCGCTTTACCTGGCCTGGTTCAGTGACAGGGAATTTTGGGAATTGTAGTTTCTTGTGGCACCAGAGCTCTCTGACAGAGAAGGCTAAATGTCTCACAAAACTACAGTTCCCAGAGTTCCCTAGCATTGAACCAGGGCAGTTAAAGTGGTTTCAAACTGGATTATTTCTGCAGTGTGTTTTAGACCTATGACATCTGCTATAGTAAAGTTCCCCACTTCAAAGTTGATCTGCTTGGAAAGCTTCAATGACAACTCCCATGAAGACAGAGGCCTTAAACCAATTGTTAGATTAGATCCACCAAATCAATGGAATTTACATATGCATAGATGTACCGAGTTGGAAACAACAACTGGAGTAAGGCCAGTCTTAGTTCTGGGGCAAAGTCTAGCCAGCTGAGCAAAAATATGCTTTTGCTATGCATTTGGGTTCTTATCCAAAGTACTGCTAACAATGGTTCAGTATTATCTCTGCACTGAGCCACAGAGCTTCAGCATAAACTGAATGGGGAATGTTCACAAAGAAGGGAGAGGAAATACAATTAGAAAAAAACAGGAACATTTTTCAAAACATGCTCACAAACATATTTAAAAATTAAAAGATTTATTAATTTTAATTTATTAAGAATTAAAAGATTTATTAATTTCACCTCAGAAAAGGCCAGAGAAGGCCAACAGCTCCCTTAATAGGGGAAGAGGAAGAAAATATCAACAACACTTACAACAACTTGGATATTTGAAAATCCCAGCACACAATATCAAAACCAAATTCCTTTCACCTCCTAACCATGAGTATCCTCTCTCAAGCAGGGTATTGCCCTTTTTGCAAGTAACAAGGGTAACTATTTCTGCTGTTCCTGAAATCCAATACCAGTTTTAAGGAGTGGGGAAATGCAAAGCACCATACTCATTCCATTTTTCAAAGGTGAAATGGCTTCCATATTCTCTCTTGGAACTCGCAAGGCATTTGTGTCTATGTAGTAAGTAGGGCCCCCTTGCTTGTTTTTGTCACCGTCAATCTCCATCATGGAGCTTCCGTCATCCCTATCCACTACCATGCCAATGGCAGTGGGAAAGTCAACCTGCAATGAGAGGTTTGGAAACAAAACACACAAAATTACATGTCATCTTAGCAAGTTCACAGTTCCAGAGAAGGGATCTTTTAAGCTGGTGTCTGTTCTAAAAGAGGAAGAATATAAAATATAGTGTGAATATAAAATATTCACAAAGATGGTACTGGTAGCTTCTTGCTGTCTCTTCCTTCACTTTTCCTTATTTTAAAATATATAGGTATTTAAAAGGTATTTTACCTGCTTTTCATGGCACATAGTCTTCATGTTTCACTAGAATTGCAAAATGTATGAAAATACAGATACAGCTCTCTCTCTCACACACACACACAGAGGGAGAACAACAACAGCTAAAGATTTTTTTAAAGTACCAACTGCAGGCCAAAAAAAAAGGCTTCTTCAGCATTTTTTAAAGACAAAAGTAAATAAGGCCATACATATTCCTGGATGAGGCCACTTCAAAGATACAAAGCCACTGAATAGAAGCCTCTGCCCGCAATACCAGCCAGGTGTCTGCCGAAGCTCATCTTAGTGCTTTTCAGAACAGATTTCACACAGTTCCGTGGGAGGGACGGTGTGGTGTAGTGGTGTGAGCATTGGCCTATCAAGCTGGAGACCACAGATCAAATCTGTGTTCAGCCATGGAAACCCACTGGGTGACCGTGAGCAAGTCACACTCTCTCAGGCTCAGGGGAAGACAAAGGCAAACTCTCTCTAAACAAATCTTGCCAGGAACACCCAACAGAACATACAACAATAGCAGGAGGGTGGAAGTCATGGGAGCAGCCACTCTCTTGCATCCTCAACAGAATGTGGTGGGGCCAAGAAGAGGGCTTCCCTTGACGTGTTCAGAGCTTGGGTAGGCTGATAGGAGAACACACGGCCTATCAGATAGCCTACACTTCTGCATTTGGGGCTTTATAGGTTTGGGATTCATGATTCCCTTGAGATCAAGTTTGGTGAAGAAAAGGCCTGAACAGAAAGGCCAAATGAACTGGCTTCCAGCCTCTTAGGACACGTGCATCGTTTAAACAGCACACCTCCAAAGTGGCCCAAAGCCACTTCATTTGGCCTGTCTGTACAGGCCCTAAGTCAAGTTAATAATAGCAATAATAATAATTGCTATGTATTGTACCTGGAAATAGACCAGTGAAGCTGTCATTAAAAAGGAAATCTTGAGTTCCCTATAACTGGCTCCTGGTTGTAGCATGTGGGCCAACTTTTCAAAGGCAGCCCCACACAGACATGTTATTGTAATCTAAATGGGATACATTTGAGGCATGTGTCACTATGTGTGAGCCACCTTGGGTACCTTCGCAGAGAAAGGCGGGATAGAAATTAAATAAATAAAATAAAAATATGGTCAAATCAAGACATCTCTAAGAATGGGTGTGTGTATCTGATGTATTGATTTTAAACACTGTCCAGCCAGCACAGAAACCAGGGCTTCCACACTGAGGGGTCACTCCAGGAATGCCCCACTCCAGGAATGCCCCAGGAAAAACCGCAAAGCCAAGTTTTTAGGCAAAGCAAAATACCATCCAACACAGTTTGAATCCCTATTCCCTAATCTACTTTTCAGATGGAAAAAAGCATCTCAGTCGTGACTAGATTCAGCTCAAATTCATTTACCCTCTTCCAGTGCATTACCAACATGAGACATCAGCATCAGGCACTTTGATGCTTACCTTTGGGCAGTCTTCTCCAGCATAGCCAGCTCTCACTGTATAAGAACCAATATCAAATACCAGGGCTCCAACTTCATCTGCAAACACAAATAAGGAATAACTTTAAAAACAAAACAAAATCAAAACCTTATGAAGCAAAGTGGTATGTTTAGGGGCAAAAGATGATCCTTGACAGTTACAGGGAAAAGAGGACAGAATTGTTATCATTCATGCGTGCACCATGGAGCCAAAAATGCCCTCAAAGAAAATGCAGCCATCACTAGGAAGAGATACATGTGAGCCCCTCAACAAAGCTTGAAAATGCACTGGAAATAATCCAGTTTGAGACCACTTTAACTGCCCTGGCTCAATGTTAGGGAATCCTGGGAACTGTAGTTTTGTGAGACATTTAGCCTTCTCTGTCAGAGAGCTCTAGTGCCACAATAAACTTCAGTTCCCAGGATTGAGCCAGAGTAGTTAAAGTGGTCTCAAACTGGATTATTTCTGCACTGTTTTGGACCAAAGTTCTTGAGCAACATTCCTCCTCAAAGTTTCACCCCATTAATCTCGGTCGTCTTACCATGATTATTTCAATTTATTTGAAATATTTAAATATTTTAAAGATTTATTTGAGAGATTTATCCTCTCTCCATTTTAACACTCTGGAATGCATTTTGTGGTCACTTGCCATCTATACTGTACTGTTCTGAGTTTCCATCTATTGGATTTTATCCTACTTTTTAATACTTCCTCAAACCTCCAAATTCCCCAAGCCTACTAATGTCTTCACTTTGTATTTGCCTGTTCCTTCCCCTAAAATACAGCCTGCAGCACCCGGTATTTCATTGGCGGTCTCCTGTCCCATTAAGCCACTTTGAGTTCCAATGTTGGGGGGAAAGCGGGATACAAATAAATATAGCAATAACAATAATAACAACAACAATCCAAGTGCTAACCTCTTTTGGCAGTCTTACCCAAATAATTTTAAATTGTGAATTAAGATGCTGAATTTTAAAGGCAGACTGTTTTAAAATGTGTATGTCTTATTTGTTCTTTTAAACTGATGCATGTTTTAATTAATGTGGTTTAACTGATCTTGTTCATTGTTGATTTATTATTGTCCCCTTCCACAATCTATAGAGAGAGGTAGATAAGAAACAATTATTATTATTATTATTATTATTATTATTAGCAAGGGCTGCTCCTGCTTAGGATCTGGTTCCTTTAGGACAGGGCTGCCACTATACTTCCAGTCTTTTTATTATATATATATATATATATATCTAGAGAGAGAGAGAGAAGTCCAGTATACTTCAAAGTGCTTGTGATGACATTTAAAGCCCTAAAGGGCAAGCTTAATTTCTCAGACTAACAAATCTTTTCAATTCTTGCAAAAGCAAGGGCTGCTTTTTTCTCCCCTGAGGCTGCATCCACACTTCAGGGATAATCCGGTTTGACACCGCTTTAATTGCCAGGGCTCAAGCCCATGAGATTCTGGGATCTGTAGTCTATGATTCTACATCTGCGCTGCATAATTGATTCGGCCAGAGACCACGTTAAGGCTAGGGAATTCTGGGAACCGTAGTTTGCTGTGCTACCAGAGCAAAGCAGACAAATCCCAGAATTCCATAGTCTTGAGCCAAGGCAGTTAAAAGTGGTATCAAACCGGATTAATTCTACAGCGCAGTTGCAGAATCATAAACAAATCCCAGAGTGCCATAGACTTCAGCTGGGGCAGTTACAGTGGTGTCAAATCGGACTATTTCTGCAGTGTGGATGCACCCAGAGTCCTTCAAATGGAGGAGACTTTTCCCCTCAGCGCACTGGGGTGAGGGGAGAAGCTGTATGCGGAGGAGCTCTCCCCGAGCGGCCGCCTTAAAGATGCAGCGGCCTCTCCAACGCTGAAACGGGACGGAGATAGGGGGGTCCCTCCACTTTCTTGGCCACTCACCCCCTCCGTAGACGCCACCACTCATGGCTGCTCCCGACGCCTCACGCCGCCACCGCTTCCAACAAAAACCGCCCGACTAACTAACTGACCACCTTTCTCTCGCCCTGCCTCACTACGGCCCGCCCTTTCTCCTCCTCTCAACCAATAGGAAGCAGGATATCTTCCAATCTGGCCAATCGCGGCGGGATGGAATTAACGGGCCAATCGGGAGCGAGCACCGACGGGGGCGCTGCGCTGATAGGTCTACTCTACTCTGCGGCTCGGCCCGACATGGCGGTTCGGAGAGTTTAAAGCTTGTTTCTCCTCCTCCTCAAGTTTGGTTGCGCGGCGTTGGTCCAAAAGGAGGAGGGGGAAATGGTTATAGTTAGTCTGCAGCCTGTTGGGCTTTGTAGTCAGAGTGGAAATGTGTGAAAGTCTGGAAAACATTTTTCTCGGACGTACTAAAACAAAGGACAATACTTGCCCATAGGGAAACCATACTTGCCCATAGAGAATCATTGGAAAATACTTGCCCATAGAGAATCAAGTAATCCCCATAAATCCCTATGGGCAAGTAATCCCCACGATTTCCTATGGGCAAGCATTCCCCATGATCCCCTATTGGGAAATATTTCCCATGATCCTCTATGGGGAAATATTTCCCATGATTCCCTATGGGCAAGTAATCCCCATGATTTCCTATGGGCAAGTAATCCCCATTATTCCCTATGGGCAAGTATTCTCCATTATTTCCTATGGGCAAGTAATCCCCATGATTCTCTATGGACAAGTATTTTCCAATGATTCTCTATGGGCAAGTATGGTTTCCCTATGGGCAAGTATTGTCCTTTGTTTTAGTACGTTCCCATTTTTCTTTCAGGTGGAGTATAAAAACAATACAGAAGATAATCAAGGCCAAAATAGGCCTGGGAACAGACAGGCTGACTGTAAACACATGACGTCATCAGGGATTGTGAGAACCATTATCCACAAGGAGAGGCTGGACTTTGAGGCTGTTGTCCACAAATCAAGTGAGCCCTCCGTTTGGGCTGGAGCTGTGTTCTTTCTCTTCTGCTGGTTAGCTGGTTGTATTCTTTTTGATTCTTTGTTCCTGCCTG